AAGAGGCGAGCAAGCACAGGGGGCCAGAACTTCAGCACACTCCTTCGGAACACGAGGGGGTATTCTGTCCGGTCCATGCTCCATACTTCTTTATTATTATTATCATCATATTATACAGTGATATCTCCATTAGCCGGAATAATTGGTGCAGAACACTTCTGGAAATGAGAGATTTACGGATAACGAGACGACTCAATGCTGGAAAAATCCCTCATCCTTGGAATTTTTCGTAATTTTCTGGGTACAGTAGGGTCAGGATATATACCCCTGCAGTGACTTTATACAGTGGTCCCTCGGTTAACGAAATTTCGGTTAACGAACTGCCGCCCATAAGATTGTTAAATTCGGTTAACGAATTTCTTACGAACCGACCTTAACATGTTTTCGCTTGCACTGGCCGGTCAACCAGCTTTAGTATTAGTCCGCCAATACATTAATCGGTTCTAGGGCTTAAATTCCTTACTATTTTAGTAAATATCAAGAAGTTTATACTATTCAATAATTTTAAAAGTTTAATATTCAATTTTTTAGTCATTTTAACAATTATTGAACATAATTGAAGGTAAAGTGACTAGTTTAATGCGCGGCATCCAGCCTCTTAACACAGCAAACAGGCGTTAGTCTCTCTCTGTTTTCACTGGAGGTAACATCTTGCTTGAGACTCTCTTCAACTAAATGCTTTTTTTCTGTGTTTCCAAGCAAATTATTGGTCATTTTGAAATATATTTTACATATTGACAATATATAATGCAGTGCAGTGTTGATTTAAAGAAAATAATCTTGAAATACACCAAGAGAACTAAAATTTTATGGGTGAAATGGTGCCATGGGGTGACTTCTCTTCCACCCCAATGCCTTCTCTTCTTCCTTCTCCTCCACCCCCATTCTAATTCCCATCATCATCATCATCATCCAGGAGCCTTCTACATACACACCTCAAAGTAAGTGAACTTTTCTACCATTTTTGTTGAATATAGGCAATTTTCGGTGAGCTGGAACCAATTACCCAAAAACCCATTGAAACAATGGTTTCGGTTAACAAATTTTTCGGTTAACGAACAACCTTCTAGAACGGATTGTGCTCGTTAACCGAGGGACCACTGTATAACAATTTTTTTATACCGCAGCTACCAAAATTATAAAATTTTTCCTATATATAGCGATAATTTATTTTTATTTTGCGAGGGAAATTGGGCAGGAAATATTTCAAATTTATCACTACATACTACCAAAATTATCGACATTTTCCAATATATAGCGATAAATTTATTTACAGTAATCACAACTTACGTGGGTTATGTTCCTGGGACCTCACATGAAGCCAAAAACCGTATAAAGTCAGAAACACTCTTAAAAATCCTCTAAATACGTAGCCCCAAAAATACTAGTTGAAAAACTGTACAGTACAGGTACTCTTCAACTTATGACCAACTCGACTTACGACCACCTGGACATATGATCGCGCTGTGTACTGACAAAATTTTTGTTTGTAATTTCTTTTAAAATGGCTGGTAAGCGTAAAAGTGAGAGTTCTCGTGGTGTTGAGAAGAAAAAGAGACACCCATTTTAGATTTTCTATGTATTATTTTCGGATTTTCTATTTACGACCTGATCGTCGGTCCCTAACCCCTTCGTAAGTCGAGGACTGACTGTACTTAAATGTACTCTAAATGTCAAAAAAATTTATCTCTTGTGCAAAATATATGATGTCTACTGTATATTCCAATTATTCGCTGTCTTGTAAGGATTCCAGCAATGCAATTTATATTCTGCTAGCTTTAGTCTGTGACATTTTATGTCAAGTTTAGTCACTTTTATTGGCCTTCAGAACTTAATCCTATTTTCCCCATTGATTGCATGTACTAATTATACATTGCGATTTAGTATACAGAATAGCGAACATCCTTGGACCTTATCTCGCGATATATCCCAACCCTACGGTAATGGAAAAATTTTCTCGGAAGTTCTAAAATGATGCATTATTTCATCTTCATCCCTGGAATTTTCCAGGTAACAGAAAAATATTCTTGCAAGTTTCACGAATTGTGCATTACATCATCTCTCAAACCCAGAAAAATATTCCCCATCCTTGGAATTTTATGGTTACTGGAAAGTTTTCCGTGAATTTCTTGAAAATGGTCCCCTAGGAAAATCGTTCCCAAAGCCAGAATTTTCCGAAAATTCTGGCTTTGGGAAAGATTTTCCAAAAAAATTTCAATTCCGCCAATTGGAGAGTTCTGAGTTTGAAGAATTCCGGCTAATGGAGATATTACTACAGTGAACCCTCAAAGATCTGGACTAAAAGGGGGGACCACCTGTCCGGAAAAGCCAATTGTCCGGATTTTCCGGCAAATAATAAATCATGTAAGAAACACCCAAAATACAGTACTAATGTAGTGATAAACAAATTACCGTATATAAACCAAGCATTTACCTATGACAACATAATAAGAAACATTGTATCATTACTAGAGTGAATGACATAATATTCCCACAAACAACAATTGTCAATTCTGTTTATGTTTCCCACCTCCTCGGGCACCTGTGTCCAAGCATCTGATGGGTCAAGCAGTGCCCACGGGCCTAAAATGTTCTTTGCTTTGGTTTGGGAATGCTTAGGGAAACTTCTAGGAGGCTTCTTAGCCCAGAACCCCCAAATTTTTTACCCTGATCTTCCGAAATCCGGATTCCCGGGTTCGGGTCTTCGAGGGTTTACTGTACAGTATTATATTTTTATTTAATATGTTTTTATAATTTTTAAATTTTTACTAATTTTCATTTAATATTATTATTTATTATTATTATTATTTATTATTATTATTATTATTATTATTATTATTATTATTATTATTATTATTATTATTATTATTATTATTATTATTATTATTATTATTATTATTATTATTATTTCTCCCCCAGGCCCTGATGTGGGTCATTGACCTGTGCCCTGGTGAGCTAATCCCATTAAAAAAAAATTGCTTACTTTTATTCTTTCTTTGTTCTTTAATTCTCTTTTCTTATTCTTAATGTTTCTTTCTTTCTTCTTTATACTAGTGAGAGAGAGGGAAGGAAGCAGGGGTGAGTGAGGGAGGAAGGAAGATGGTGGTTGAGGTAGGACAGCTGTTTTGGTGTGAGGCAGCCTGCTGCAGCCTTCCTCACACCAAGGGGAGAAGGAGGGAATAATGGTAGGAGTAAGTATATCATGCACTAACATATATACACTAGGGGAAATATATGATAGTTATATTGTTACTCATGGGGTCACTGTATAACACAGACACTTAAGTGGAATACTCTAGTTTACTCCATGCACAAGGGAAGGGAATTGAGAACTACTCTTAACGGTTCTTCGTTTATTAACGACGTTATTCAGAATGAACAGTTATCCTTTCTAAACATTGACCTATTCTCCTAGCTAGTTAAATGAGGTCACATGAATCATTACATTTTGTGAAATGGATAAAACCTTAAGTGCACTTTCTTATATATGTTTGGCCATGTTTCACCAGCCGACCCACACACGTCTACACTCTAACACTTCCCAACACAGACTCTGCATTTGAAAATCTGGTACACTTTGTGCTGGGTATGAACTCTAGTTTCTGTCATGCATATGACGTCACACTCACAAGTCACTGGGATTGGCTTACACCTAAGGCACCCTCATGGCACTGTTAGCTTGGTTGGCAACCAGGCAGGTCGTTATTGCGGGAATACATAATACATTTTCTCAACAGCATGACATAATTTACTCCAAAATCATGGCACTGTTACATTGTAACGCATTCAATCACAACACTTGTACGTACAAATGCACCCGCCTCCTGTTCCAGTAGTGGGTGTGGGGAATGGGGGTGTGCCAAGGTACATCAACTCACGCACGTACTCACACCCAGCTGTGGGTGTGTGATGGGGTGGAGAAGCGCGGTGCCCTTCCACCCATCGCCAGAATGGGTGTAGAACGTCATTTTTCCGATGTCAACTGCATTCGTAGATGCATATTTTGACCGTTACCGCCTCTGAAGCAGTAAACTTGCTACATCTGGATAAGTAGACCCGTGCACGTGGATTCAATGGTGTTTAATGGTCAAAACCTGTCGATACAATATTCATGTTAACACATTACTCATGATTTATGGCTTATATATTTGGTGACAATACAGCTTCATTTTATATACAATGGCAACAGCATTTACTACACACTCATCTGGATATTACCAAAGCATAAACATAGTACAGTATCTCCCAATAAAGCCTCGTTTGAGCATAGACTTACGTTTAAGGGGTCTTATGCTAGTCATTTTGGTGATGGTGCTCAAGTGTGACAGTGTCCTCCCACCTACTATAGGCCATATGAAGACCAGATGAACATGAAGTGCATGGATTCAGCAGAACATGAAGTAATCAACATTGCTTGCCTGCTTCCACTCCTCCATTCAACCTTACTATTCAACTCCGTGTTCATATCAACTATTTTCCCATATTACTGTCATCATAAAACTCACATATGCGATCACAAATTCCACAATTACTTCTTTCCCAGTGTGGGGCAGTAGCAGTGTTCTTGGCATCTGAGTCACATTTTAATTTCTTGTCTGAGACAGAGTTTTACTCTAAAAGCCAAATGGTTTGAAAACTGACCTTAGATTTTGAGATTCTGTCATTGATTCTTGGTCAGAGGAATTGTTGTAAATGAGAAGAAATGTACCACATGCGGCCCATTAAACTAAGTATTGTCAGGTCTGTCCAGCATTGTAAACCAAAGACCATTAGTCACACAGATTCATTTTCTCCAAGGACTACAGATTTTCCAGTTTAGATATATACTGAAAAAGCTGAGGACGTGGCAGTGGTACTACTCCCAGGTGATGTAACAAGTTGTGGCCTAATACTTACCTCCCAAGTTTCTCAGGCACCCAACATTTCTTTATATTGTATATACTTCATTTAAACTTCATCTTTCTAGATTTGTTTTTTCTTTATTTATTTTTTCTTTTCAGATTGATCAGAAAAGAAGGCTCAGTGATAATACCAAACAAACTTTTCACACACCGCAAACAAGGCAGCAAGAGCTGGAAAGTCAACAACAACATTCACCAGACACACCATTCATCTGTAGTCAGCTGCATGGGACTCAAGAATGTGAAGTTGTGTGGGACTGTAACTCACCTGGCTACTCCAAAGATGACCTGAAGCGCAGTGAGTGCTTTTGTAGTGGAATTTTAGTGTGAGGTTTTTGTAGCACATTGATATGTCCATCAGTTTCATGGTTCTTTGTTGTCTTTAGTTATGGAGTGTGTGTATTATCTATGAAATTTGGGTTTAGTTGGCCATGGCGGCTTAACTTCTACCTAGAGAGTAACCATATTCACAATACTCAACATTACAAAATATAAGGTCATCTTTATCGGCTGAATTAAACCACTGTCCCATAATAATAAATATGAACTATAAAGGGCTATAAACTATTTTATAGAGAAAGTACTGCAAGGTAATGGGGTAAAATCTGTTTAGACCCAGATTTGTTTGGTTGCACCTTATTAGTGGTGCTTTAAATACCATGGTCAAGGTAAGCACACACTCTTAGCTAAGTTTACAGGTTTCAATCCTGGTTATATAAATAAAAGGCTGAGAATCCAGTCTTTCAGAGCCTTATCTATGTCTGGTAATTTCGGGGACATTTATCCAGTTCTTTCTAACTCCTTGCATACGTGGGTATCTCTGTGTTGAATAAAATCTTCTGGCATTAGTCACTTGAGACATTAAAAGTGGCATCACCATAGTGAAGCGGTTAAGAGGAAGATGTTTACTTATGCAGCAGCTTAGTTCTCTGTAGGTCTACAGCAAATCTGATTTGACCACTGTACAGTATGCAGTGAGCAAGTGTTTCTTTTCATAATTTTTTTTTTACCCATTTTTTTAAATATGTACGGTGCTCTACATTACTTAACCCATTTCTTAAAACCCCTCAAGTTTCTTTGTTGAAGATAAAATGTAGTCTACATAAAATGTTAACGTAAATGAGTGTATGTAGTGAAGTGTGGCACACCGATACAATACATATGAAGGCAGGACTCAGGCTGAAACACTTGCCGAGCATCACCCAAGCACAGACGTATAGCCTCTCTTACCGAGCTTGTATAAACTGCAATTCACTATATACCATACACCTCCTTAGATTTCAGTAGTACCTCTCTATTCCGAATGAATTCATTATACGGTGAACAGTGATATCCCCGTTAGCCAGAACAATTGGTGCAGAGCACTTCCGGGGATGAGAAATTTCCTGCTAACCGGACGACTTTCTCAAACCCGGAAAAATCCCCCATCCCCTGAAATATTTCCGGTTACTGGAAAAACTTTCTGAGTGTCTAAACTATGCATCTTGCACAGACAAACACGAGCCCACATCCTCAGAATGTTTCTATGTGCTGGGTGTTAGAGCAAAGACTGGTATTTTCCACTCCCTTGGGGCTGTGGGGGATTCGTGGATCTCATGTACCTGACCTGACACAATGTCAGGTGGAGGTAGAGTTGGGTATTGTTGGTCTCATATAGCTGACCTGATACAGGACCTGAAGATGTCTTGAATAAACATGAAAGCTAAAATACATTATTTTTTATACTTACACTTATCACATTGTATACCTTCAACATTGCATTACATAAGATTTTAAAATGTGGAGTAAGAGAGCTGAAAGGTTTGGGTGATTGGAGAGATGGAGTTTTAATACAGGTAAATTAATAAATATATATACAGCTCCTCCCCGACTTACGACCACCCGCACTTACGACCTGCCTCAGTCAAATTACGTATTTTCGAGTCCCAACGTCAGTACACAGAGAAAATTTTTGTTTGTAATTCACTTTAAAATGGCTGATAAGCTTAACGTTCAGTGTTTTGTGGTGCTGAGAAGAAAAAGAGACACCCATTTTAGATTTTCTATGTATTATTTAAGCATTTCCGACTTGTTTATATTCAAATTATTCACTATTTTATAAGAATTCCAGCAATGTAAATTATATTCTCTCCAATCATATCTATGGAATTTTATGAGCAAAAAGAAAAACTAAAAAAATTAAATACTTCACCAGACCACTAACTGTCAAAGTACACCTCACCTCCCGCTCCCCCCCCCCTTTCCCTCCCTCCCCTCCCCCTGCACCTGCCTCAGACAAAGGTTTGGGGGTTTTCACTAGGCTTACAATTTTTATCTTATATAATGCCTCAGACTAAAGTTAGGAGAATATAATTTGCATTGCTGGATTCCTTGCAAGACAGCGAATAATTTGAATACAGTAATACCCCGATTTACGCGGTTTCGCTTTACTCGATTCTACATTTACGCGGTACCTCTCCAGAACCGTAATTTCATTTTACACGGTGCATCTACTCATATACGTGGGTGAAGTATAATTTTTTTATTTAGCTCATGAAATTCATATAAATTACCCGGCCAGAATATAATTTACATTGCTGGAATTCTTACAATATGATCATTTTGAATATAAACATCATGAATTTTGCATTAGACATACAAATTTTAGATCTAATGTAATAATTTGGTTTACACAAAGCAAATATTTTATCTTTTGTGCAAAATATATGAAGTTTACATTCAAAATATTCCTTGGCCTGCAAGGAATCCAGAAATGTCAATTATATTATCCTAACTTTAGTCTGAGGTATTATTTATTACTATACCTTAAAATCTAGTGTTTTCACCTAAACATTTCTCAGAGGGAGGAGCCAGCGAGCTTGGGAAGAGAGAGGGGAGTTGAGTCCATTATTTGAATGGACATTAACCTGGCGACTGTATTTCTCTTAAATATTAATTGTGTGAGCATACCATCATAAAATTAAGATGTTATTTTTACTACAACATCGGTATTGTGTCGGAAAAAGTGGAGTTTGGGGGTCGGGCCAATCTCTATTGGAATTAATCCCATATGTTCTTTTGTTCACTTTACGCGGTTTTCACTTTCCGCAGTACCCCATTGGTTCAATTGACCGCGTAAATTGGGGTACTACTGTATAAACATATATTCTGCACTAGAGATAAAATTAATCACCTATATCACATTACAGTAGTGATTTAAGAGTTCCAGTGTATATGTACATATATATATTTATACAGTATAGTGATTTAAGGGTGATTTAGGGGAATTTTAGGAGTGTTTCTGACTTTATGCATTTTTGGCTTTACTGTGTATATACTTTTCTGTGAGCTGGAACCAATTACCGAATATCCCATTGAAACAATGGTTTCTGTTAACAAAATTTTCGGTTAACGAACGACCCTCTGGAGGAACGAATTGAGTTCGTTAACCGAGGGACCACTGTACTTTGTGATCACTGTTCCCTAGTTCTTCCCCTACTGTGATATCTCTGATAATATTTTCTT